GTTTCGTTGTTATTTGTCATTTGTTGTTGATATTGAAGATATTTTTGTTCGTTATTCGTTGATTTTTTTATTTGTGTCTTGTGCCGTTGATTACTGTGAATTTATAGGCATAAAAGTTTATTGCATATACTGAAGAACCAAATAGAAGAGCCATTATTAGTGTTATAAGTACGTTTAAGCGTCTAGGGCGAACTTAGAAGCTTCATCGGATGTAAAGATATCTAAATTAGAGTTTGAAGTAAAGGAAGATTGCTATTCTTTGACCACCCTTAACTCACACTATCTACTGAAAAATCTTTCAAAGCGAATTTGGCAGAGTGAGCTATAATGCATAATATTTCACATAGCGTAGTTAAAATATTGCAACTCAGACTGGCTCCGAAGAGCATCAATCAGACAGAAGATTAACCACTGATGGTGGAAGAATACCAAAACAATTAATTTAGTAATATATTTTTTAGAACAAAATGTTTCAGTATTTTGTTAATAATAATTTTTATAGAAAATATGTTAGTTTTATTTTGTATAGAAGAAATTTACAGAAGATTTTAAAAACTAAATCCGAGAGTACGTCTTACCAATGTCGAAAAACAGACATATTCAAGATGTCTTAAGAACGTTACCTTTTGCACAGTATAAAGATTATTACCAGTAATCGCACTCCCTGTCGGCGCCTTTGATCTAGATGTCCCAGTTCTGAACTCGCGCAGGCATCGACGCGCACATATGGCCGCTGTTAATTCGACCGCCAATTTTGAATAGTTAATGTTATTAATATTAATTGTTTACATTTTTAAGTAATTTTTATAGTTAAGAATGATTGTTTAATTTGTAATATTTTTAATAATTAATTTTTTCATCCATGATGCCACCTTTAAAATTTAGCTGACCCGGATAAAAATAGCAAGAGAAAGAAAATTTTTATTTTCAAGCTTATTTTATTCAAAATAACAATTCACACATGAAAAGAACTAATTTTTATTTCCTTAAAAATATAATTAAACATTGCATTTTTATTGTCAAAGTATTTTTAAATGTTTCGAAATTTAAAGCTATATTTGTTATTACTTTGGCATAGTGTTACTAAATTCTTTTGTTCACTTTTCTCTAAATACTTGACACGTCATATTAAAATTTTGTGGAGGTAGAATATATTTTTTATTTTGGTGAAACGCGGTTTAACCTACAGATAAATTAATATTAAATATATTAATTTATCTATGGTTTAACCCCGAGAAAATATCTAGTAAACCGGAGCTCGAAGACCATATATTAAAACCCGGAGTCTCCAAGTGAAACCAGGAGAGGTGGCAATTCTACATCCATATCAAATTTGTAATCGTATATTTATATATTGACACACAAAATCACATCGAAGTTGCACCAGGACAACTTTATGTGATTTTAATGTAGTAATGTATAAAATTATTTTTATTTGTATTAAATCTAGAACAATTATATTTTTTACAAATATGTAAATTTAAAAAATGTAGATATATGTATATAAATTTTAGTTTGTCGAGTTCAAATCAATTTGATATAAAAATAAAACAAAGTATTCGGTAAATTTTTTTTATTAAAATCTCATACATACGTACATATAAAAAAATTATCAAATTCTAAAATAAATGTTTACAAATGTTGTAGAATTATTAGTTTTTTTATTTTTTTTTTGTTGGTTTTTGATTTTTTAAATTTTTGTTCACATATTTTAAAGTATAAAATATTCTTAATCGTACATATAAATTTAACAAATATGAGATGGGAAAATTCTCGCAAGGATGTACATAAATAATTTTTTCTATATTGCGTTTAATTTCATATCCAACACCGTTATTGTGGGAAATAATTCACAGAATTTTTGATCGAGTTTATGAATATACTCGTAAAGTGATTCTGGTGGCATGATCAAATTTCCAAATATATTTTGGTCACTACTTCTATAAGCTCTCATTTGGCAAAGTACCGTTTCATTAGTGAGCTCGGTTTGTTCTTTTGAGAACTGCAGGCAAATAGGACAGGAATGTTTTCCCAAACATTTTTTAATGAGATACCCTGCTACCCAAGATAAAGCATTTTTTTCAGGTAATTCAGCCTCTGAATAATCTCGTCTACGCATATAATACAATCTTTTGCTCGATCAGTACAGTTTTTCACTTTAAACTTATAAAATTGAACAAGAATGCATTAAAATCAGTGCAAAAGTCCAAATTAGATGTCATTCGACAGAGCGTAGCTTTATGAGGAAGATGAAACGTATCTTTTAAAAATCTGTACACTTTAGGTCCCAAAAAATAAATTGTTAAAGCAAATTGCTTGTATGCTTCTGTATACCTGTACCCATGAGGTTCTCTTTTTGACAGAGTTAGCTGGGTAATTATAAAATTTTGTAAGGGTTCACTGAACTTTTCCTGACAAAATTTGATGAAGCCTTCTTCGGAAATTGTGTTGCTGTCTTCTACATTTCTTTGCGGACTCTCAGACAGACGAAGACACTTTTTTTTCAAGTTTAAAACTTCTCGATGAAGATTTCTTTTCCTTGGAGTTGAGCAAGATAGATTTGGAGACGTTTGAGTTTCTTGTCCTTTTAAATTTGGATCAATATTTTCCTCTTGTCTTGTTTCCATTGGGTCTGTTATCAATGACGCTCTAAAAGTTGATGCACCTTCATTGATTTTTGGTTGAGTTGCAGTTTTCTTACATCCTACACCTATAAAGATAAGTAGATATGTAATTGAATCCGGAAATAATAGTTCAATGTCAGGAATTGTGATAGATTTGCTAGATGCAATATACTGTTTCTAATTTTTAAAATTAATGTGATTACATTCTGATATTTTATACATTATAGTATGATTCTTGATGATTATTTAGGCACATACTTGATATAGAATTATTAGAATAAACCCTTTTTGTATTATATACCTGTTTGTTATTTTATAGTATGTTCCAACTCCTATCCATTTAGTTAATCATTGTGCCAATTTATGTCAAAGTTTAATATTAAATAAACCCTAAGTTTAAAGATTTATTACACCTTTGTAAAAAAAATTTAATTTATTGATATAATAAGGTTTTAACCCTAGGGGATTAAAGTAATTAAGCAATAATTTCGTGTTTAAATTGGTATAATGAACACTACTGTGACTATATTAATCAAATAATAATTATATTTACATAAATTAATTTAATAAGGTTTTAACCCTAGGAGATTAAAGTAATTAAGCAATAATTTAATGTTTAAAATTGTATATTGATATAACTCTTCTGGGAATGAACTAATTAAATAATAATTGTGTTTAAATTGATAAAATAAGGTTTTAACACTACTGGGATTATCTCACATAGTATTAAGAATCAGGTAAAGGGATTAAATAAAGGTGGTGAATTGAGTAACAAACAAAATTAGGAAAACATAATCTGTGCATGAAATTATAATTAATTCAAAATAAAAAATACCTTTAAAACCCTCTCCATCATTAAATATGTCAGGCTCAGTATATTTCTTCAGTCTTGTTCCAGATATATTGTCTTTTGAGAAATGCTCACTACATATTCGGCGTCCAGCAATTATTTTAGAATCCTGCAAAACCCATTCTTCTTTTCCCATTAATTTTAGCCATACAATTTGCCTGAAAAAAAAAAAAAAAAAAAAAATCAGCATTACTTTAGCCATACAATTTGCATGAAAAAAATTGAAAAATCAGCATTCTTACTGGCTTAACAAGATTTCACCAACCATATTATTGTGGGCATAATAAAATGACTTCTATTATATAATTTTTGAAAATGTATAAAAAAATTAAATAAGTGGTATTTTCCTTTTAGAACTCATAAAATCCTCTGCATATTTTCTTTTAAAACAAAAAAACTTGTGTGTCTGTTCTTAGACGTCTATTTTTTTTAACTGAGGCTGCGATATTTGAAATGATTATTTTTCAACAATGTACTTACTATATGAAAAAGCTTCAATTACAGGTTAAAGAAGTGTAAAACATAATTTTTCGGTCAAATTTACTATATACATAGGTATTTCAATATTTAAACTGCACAAAAAGTTGTCTTCAAAGTTTTAAAAATTGAAAATATGCATTTTTTAAAGAAAAATTAAAAAATTGTATGAAATAATGCCGTGAATATAATATAGAGAATTAGAACAATCTTTATGGGTAAAAAATTAAAGGAAATATTTAGTATTTATAAACAAAAAGCATTTTTAGCGTCTTACCTGATAGGATCCTTGGGCAATGCAAAAAAACTCAACTTTGGTTTGTCCCTTTTATTGTTTTTACAATTGTACACGCCACAATAATTCACCATTGTGAAAAATAATACAAGTTCACACGAAAAATAATTTGATAAGCACTTAATAATTGCTAAACACATCAACAACTGACAACAACGAATGTACAAAACAAACTAACAGGTTATGTTTCACGACTTCAGTGTCATATCCAGAAAGTCGGCCATATCTGCGCAACGGTGCTGCGCGAGTTTTGTTTTTGGACACCGATTTTAGCCACTGCGATTACTGGTACTATCTTTATACTGTGCCTTTTGTAACAACAGACGTCTTAAAGATATCTTTATGACGTCGGGCCGGCGTCATAAGACGTCTTTTAGACATCTGTCATGTTTCTGACAGACGTCTTATGGATGTCTTAATGATGTATTTGTGCTGTCTGGGCTATTGCTCGAATTTAAAAGTAAAGAAATATATAAAGAAAAATAATAAAAAGAGCATTCATATTTTAGTAAGAATTCACCAAAAAAAGTCTTAAAAATTTGAGGGTGTGGACTCAGTTACCCTGTACTCGTTAGACCCATTGACATTGTGTATCATCCAATAGCAAAGGTGTTTATCTCATCAACCACCCTAAGACAAGCACCTCAACCATCCTCCTGCTTAGCATGGTAATTGTTCCCTTATCTACTATGTGATGCATTTTTGATGAAAATTAATTAAAAAATATATATTTTTTTAATTTCATTTATATTATGTTTCGTTAAAATATAAATTATCAACATAGAAAAAAAAAAGAAAAAAAGAGACCAATAAATATGTTCGTGATGATTTAATATCGTGTCATTCTCTTGAGGGTAAACCTTCTTTGGTAACTTCTTCCAAATCTTTTATGTTTTCTGAAAAACTTCTGACCAGGTGCGTATGATGGGGTACCAACTGACTGTCACACATTACACCCAATTTTACATGGTCTGAATATTCATTTAAGCATAGAGATATACCTGGAATTAAAGAAGAATTTAAAGACAATTATGTAATTGAAAGTTCAGACTAAAAGGCAAGGGGAAAGGTGAGACAAAAAGGCAAAGGGAAATTTTAATTTTAATGGCCATTTCTCACTGTAGTTCGGGTCACGCTTTGCTCACGCGATGCTTTATTGTGACACGCTATTTAAATGGAAGAAATATTCATATTTGGCGTTTTGCTCACGGTCAGCTCACGATCTTTGACCGCAGTCTTTCTCCGTGCGGATATTTTGATCAAACCGTGAGTGAACGACGTTTGTTTTTTGTATTCTTGTGTTAAGAGCAAGTTGGATATACAACTAATTGAATTAGTTCGAAATACCAATGAATAGATGATTTCAACAGAAGACATCTTGAAGTTGCAATCATTGGACGATCTTTGCGCCATCTATAAGTTTACATAACAACTAATAAAATAAAAAGAAAACTGTAAATTATTATTTTGGCAATCTGTTTAAGGTTACGGCGTCGGTATTCATTTTTTTTTCTTTGTTTTCTTCATTAGTTGTATGTGCTTAGTTTTTCACCATCTCTATCTACTTAGTGCCAGGTCCCAGAATCTTCTTTTTCTTAGTCATGTGTCATGTCAAAATTTGTAAAAACATAAAACAAATTGAGGTTACAATCTCTGGTTTTGTTTTTGAATTATTTTTTGCATTTATTTTCAAAATACTAGCTTAGAAACACAAAGAAAATGATGAAAAGTAAAGTTAACAGGTAGGTGTGCACCTTTTGTTTACTACTTTAAATTTCAAAGTGAATAGATGTATTTATCATTGTATTTATGTATTATTATGTTCTGTTGTTACATATAAAAATGAAGTATTAGGTATTAATTTTAGGAAAAAAAATCATTCTTCGTAAAAAAATGTGCATGGCCTTAAGCCTAAAATAAAACCATTAGATATTAAATTTTATCAGTCGTATACAAGGTTTGTCAAAAGGTACTTATAATTAGTCTCGAACAAAATTTATATTTTTTGATGCACCACGACTCAAAAATTTAATATCTGATGGTTGTATTTTCAGCTTTAGACCATGCAGAACTTTTTATAAAGAATACCTTTTTTCTATAAAACTAACAATAAAATACCTTTTTTCTATAAAACTAACAATAAAAAAAGTTTCCCATACATGGTGCGCCGACTTAAATTGGACACATTGTATAAAACTTCTCTTTCAAATACCCTAACACCTAATAAGATAAGTCCATACCAACCGATGCTTTTCTGTATAGACCTATACCTATGTAGATTATTTCATATATTTTGGTTATTCTATACAAACTATTGTACACCCCTGTACAGTTTTAGAGGATGAATTAAATAATATTCATTTTAAACACACATATTACTCGAAATATTTTTTATATCTTCATTGTCAACAAAAATACTGAAAAAATTCCAACCGTTCTGTTGGGTAATGCAGCCGACACCCATTAAAAAAGGTTTTATTTTAACAAAAATCAGCCATAGAGACCTAACGCGCTTTTAGCAAGCCATATAGATCTAGATTCCAGATCTTGGCGATAGTGAGAGTGAAAACAGAGCCCATACAACTAAAGAAGAAGGGAAGAAAAAATAAGAAATTTATGCTGACGCCGCCGTAACTTTAAACAGATTGCCAAAATAATAATTTACAGTTTTTTTTTTATTTTATTAGTTGTTATGTAAACTTATAGATGGCGCAAAGATTTTCCAACGACCTTGCAACTTCAAGATGTCTTCCGTTGAAATCATCTATTGTACAACTTGTGTGATAAGTTATACTCTGACATGGCATTAAAAAAATATAAGATTAAGTGAAGTAAGCGCCAGTTGAGTGTAACATGTGAATACTATCCCATATCCTTGACTGTGAGCAGATCGTGAGCGTAGCATAACCTGAGTGCCTAGTGAGAACCGGCCTTAAACCTATTGTAGATACTTACAAGTATTTGCTTGAGGAGGTCTCAAGTAGATAACACTACTCACTTCTTGTCCCCATAAAGTCCTCTGGGTCACATTTGGATATCTGCTAGTGATTTCGGCAACGCTTATCGCATATTTCCTAGATAAATATTTCAAATAAATACTTAAAATGGGAGCGGGAAATAATTTTGTCAAAAATCCGAATTTTGTGTTCAGCATTGTCATCAGATGGGACAGTCCCTGTTTTTCCAAAGAAGCATTAAATTTTCTACGGATTTCCAGGAGGTTTTCCATGTGAGATATTCCTTTTTCTGGATCAGGTACGCTTAAATTCAAGCATAATATTCCACTAACGGCATCTTCCGGCTTTATATTTGGACCAGTTGCGAAAATATAGTTTGATGAAATGTTTCGTATTGTAATGGGCAAATCATCTGGAATGTAGTGGTTACTTTGAACGAAGTATTTCGAAAGGCACATAGAGACTGCAGACAACATTATTTCTGTTTGCGATACACCCGCTTGCCTGGCTATTGCTTTAATATGGTCGATTTTTACTGCTTCGGACCAGGCTACTGCTTTTCGTCCGCAAAGAGTAAAAGTTTGGAACGATTCATCTTGCAGCAGGATATCCTGGATGATGGTTTTAGGAGCTCTGAATAGTATTGATAAAATATACATGACTTCTTTTAGAGAGTTATACATAAGAGGTACAAAAGTATATATAATTCCCACAAAGGTATTGGGATAAGGACAATAACCTAAAGAAAGACAAGACAAAAAAGCTCGAATTTCGATAAACACAGCAATTGGCAACCTAACAGGCAATTGAATAAATATGTAATAAATAGTTTGTATAACATCCAAAGCTAAATTCCTTGGATCCAAAGACTTTAATATCGATAAGAAGAAATTTTTGACCGTGACTTGTCTTTTGTCAGTTTCTCTAATAGTTGCTTGTAGCATGTACTTTACTTTTGAATAGGCATCATTTTTTATAACCCTAAAACCCTTTCTGCAATCTTTTACCAACGAAACAAAGGTGATTATTACGAAAGCAATAAATTGGGAAAATGTTGGTGCTGATTTAAGTAATTCCGGTCTTTCTAACGGGTCATTATTTGCCACAAATTCATTCCAGCGATTGGATAATTCTTCTGTCAGACGTTCTTTTAGTTGTGGTAAAACTTCTGGTTTCTTGAAAACTTCCACTAAAGGACTTGTTGATATGAAGGACCTAAAATTTAAATAAATAAACGTTATCATTTGTATATATAAACAATTTTTGAGTTACTACACCGACATGCAAAAAATGCTACATCAGCATTGACCAAATTTGATAACTTTTTTTTTTTTTCATATAATTATAATTTTTGTGTTTGGTAAAAAATTTAAGTAGGATTTTAGATATACTCATGTTATACAGGGTGAATAATAGTCGTTCTATTTTTATTTGAAACATCATAAAGAAGCAAATGTTTAAAATAAATAAAACAACCAATCGTAATGATTAAGATGGAACATCTTCTGATGGTGCCTAACATGATCATAAGACATAAGTTGTTTAGTTTTGATGTAATAAGGGAAGTTTTAAAATCTATCAATGAAAATTCCACACCTGTAATTTTGAACCAATCAAAATACGTGTTTTTGACAGATCACCATGGCAACGGAGGTATTTTAGTGGAAATTTTTTTCTCGTGGGGTACCCAACAGCGAATTATACTGGAAATTTTTTGACGTTTACAATAACAGACCATTTTTGACAGACTGGTTTTTATTTGTTCACATAATAGGTTTAGTTTTGATACATTTTAGTTAGAATGCTAAGGTGTTTTCTATATTCTTCGGCCACTTCTTTTCTTCTTAATGGCGAAAATGCAGGACTTTGGATGCTTTGAATTATGTGTCTATGTCTAATAAAATATATATAATATTTAGACACTAATTTATTCACCTTTTTCCCATTCAGCACTTTGAATTTTGCGTAGTTTAGGTGCAAATATTCGTGGACAATTCGGAACAAATTTTCGTTTTTCAAGTTGGAGCCACAATCCTCTATTAATCCGAGTAAGTAAGTCATGGTGCAATGATTGATCATTACATCAGACAATTTCACGCATATTTTGCATAGCGTATGATTTTCAAATCGATTCATTTTTAAACAAATAGGTAATTTTGTTGGTTTTACTTGCTGTGCAATATTCTTTATCGCAACAAAACGCGAGTTATTTAATGTTTTGAACTGTCAAAATACAATGATCACAGCCTCCTACGATTGATGCTTGCTGACGCTGGTTATGAATTTCATACCATTTTAAAGCGCTCATAACGCATGTTAATAAAAACGCAGAAAAACAATTTTCTACCACTTGTAGTTATTCAAAACTTACGTAAAATTAAAGAATATACTATTTTCTATTTTCAAATGGTATTCCCATGCAACTACAATGAGTAGAAATAAGCAATTTGAAAGCCTAAATAATTGCAGCGAAACATTTTTTTACGTCGGGCCGCTTGACAACTTCAAAACTGAAATTATATTCGAGGTAAGGGTCTCACTTAGTTACCATGACAACTCAACAATCAAGGCGACAACACCTTTTATGTTTCACTGGTGACTTGGAGAAAATAATTTGCATTGTTGAGAAACGAAAAATAAATTTTAAAAATATTTAATTTTCAACCATAATTCGGCGTGGAATTTTCTTACCGAATACCACGCGAGGTCAAATTAATTAGGAAATTAGGAAATGTCAGGAAATTTTTTCTCGCTCATGAATATTTTTAGAAAATTTCCCTCGTCTGCGACTCGGGAAATTTTCAAAATATTCATGAGCTCGAAAAAATTTCCGGAAATAATTTGACCTCTAGTGGTATTACTAGTAAAAATAGGCTAATTATTGATGAATTATTAGTCCGGTCAATTTAGACATCCGAGGGTACAAAAATTCCCACCCAGCTGAAAATTGGTAGGATTGTTCAAAACACCATTATAAATGAAACCTAAAAAGTCCTCATCAATCCGGCATCTGGAAAAAAATTTACTCGGGGTCAAAGGTCACAAAAACGGGTTATTTGCGATTTTCAGCAAAACGGTAAGTTTTATCACAAAATTAGTTCAGACAAAAATTGTAGAGCAGATAATTTTCTATAAAAAATGTCTTTTTTTTTCTAAGAGCCACCGTTTCTGAGAATGAAGAAAAATTGTAATCGTCGTAATATGCACGTTTCCCCGCAACCTTTGAGGTAGTGTTCTTAGCGCGTTTTTTTTAACGTGGTTTCCCCGGTAGGTCTATTCCACGGATCTGTTGTGACTCTTTTTAATTTGAAACTATTGAATAATAAAAGATATTGGAAGGGGTTAAAAATGATAAAAGCGATGTAAATAAAAGAAATAGGGATATTTATTCATCGGAATCATAATTCTTAAATATTTCTGCTTCCTCTTCTACTTGTTCTTCTTCTTCTCCTCGTTCTTCTTCTTCTTCTCCTTGTTCTTCTTCTTTATCCTGGGTGCATGTAAATTGGCTGAATAGTGATACATCGCATGTCTCCTCGTTGGTATCAAACGAGTCCTCAAGTGTTGATGATTCAACATTGGAGCACTATCGACCTTGACAATTAGTGCATGCTAGAGAATAAAACAGTCCAACTTTTTTACAACCACATTTAGCACTACATCCCTTTTTGTAGTTGAAAAAAATTGTGTTGAGAAGTTTTTCCGGCGCAGGTGGTAGTAAAGTTTGAACTGGTTCTAATGCATTGTGAACTAACTTTTAACCCCAGTCTTTTGGGTATTTACTGTAACCTACAACACCGTCAGTTTGATAGATCTGTATCGGCACATGAGCTTTTTCCTTGAAATCTTTTGCTTAAAGAGCTTCTTTTATTCGTGGCCTAGGTTCTTCTAGTAAAACGGAATCGTTTGGAGTAACAATTTGAATAATACCCATTATGTGAAGTGTGTTATTACCGTCTAGTTTATTTACACTAATATCAGCATTTTCTGCAACGTATTGAATAAGTGTGCCACTTTGTGGTGGTAGGACATGAGGAGGATGATGAAAAACTGATTCTGCCTCGTACATTATTGTGTCATTATAAGATGCACACAAAGCGAAAGTTGAAAAAATTTGTATAAGACGTTTAGACCCAAACCGTCGTTAAAAAAAAACTGACAGACTTAAAAGACCTCGGCCGAACCGCAGTCATTATACTATGGTTAATATTTGTGCATATTAATTTTAAATGATCTAAATTTGATCTTTTATTTTTTTAAATCATTTGCTCCAAAAATGTGTCAACGACTCTGGGATTTCGTTGTTTAAATCTTCAAACATGCGACCTGGTGGAGGGTAGTTAGAATTATCTAACACTGTGGATTGAATATCTTTGCGGATGATTGCTGCATCAGCTTCTAAGACTCTGAGTCGTTCTTATTTTTTTGTCCAATTTTTTTCTTTTCATACCAAGCTTGATTTAAAATATCATGATGATTGTCTACTAGTTGATGTTCCCGATTTTTTGGTGATAATAATTTTATCACCATACCTTAGCTTCAATTGTACCTTTAGCGTCCGGTTATCTATAGTTGTAGTTTTGCAAACATTATTTAATTCGTTCAAAGTGAACTGACGATCATCGCTATTTTCGATGTAAGTGAATATTTCCTCCATTGCCAGATTCGTAGTTTCATCTTGAGGACGACCAACTTTAACCCCAGTGGGCGGTTTCAAGAAGAAATTAAAGCAATCATGATGATACTTAGCCTCAGCAGTAACTAAATCGTTTTCGAATTCGAGTCGAGCAAGAACAGCTTTTGCCATAGCATCAGAACGAGTCCCATCTGTTTCCAGAATCGAATCTTTAAATGTAAGTGTACTTACTTGTTTAATTTTACGGCGAGAATCCAAGAATTTTCTTGTCTCAAGCATTGTTTTTTAAAACAAAAAGCTGATTCACTTACACGTGCTCTAGTACGAGGAGGACCTACAATAGATGTACTAGCTTCTTGTTCTTCATGTTATCTTTTAATAGCTGCAATAGAACACTTTCGAGTATAATTTTTACGACACAGATTTCTGCTCTTTAAGATATTCTGTAAGTTCATCAGCTCTTTTAGTACTTGCATTGATTAATGTCTTCATACCACGTTCTACAGTAACAATTTCACCTTCATTTAAAAGTTTAGAACAAATAAAACAATACTCTGAAATTTTTGTTATAAAATTTAAAACAGCACAAAATAGGTTAAAAAATATAGGTTAGAATCTTCGAGCATATGAAGGTTAGAATAAACACGTGTTTTCACTGCGGAGTAGCGCTCAAGACTAATAGTAATGCATGTATTATGTATTGAGTATTCTAACAAAAAGTAGGTATACGACGCTTGCCACGCAGACAATTGAATAGGAGACAGATATTGCTCAAGGTTACACTGGCGTATAAAATGAGGGACTGGGTTTCTTTTTACCTGAAATTCTCATATACAGGGTGTATCTAAATAACACCGAAAAAATTAAAGGGGTGATTCTGTGATGAAAATTAATGTGAGTGTTTGGTATAAAATTTTTTGAAAAAACCCTCCCCGGAAAAGTTACACCCCTTCGAAAATTAAAAAAAATAATGGTTTTTCTTTTTTATTTTCCCTGTATATCAAGCTAAAGACACGAAACTTGGTAAACATTATCTGTCAATAAAAGTACACTTTTTGAAATTTTTTCAACCCTAAAGTATGCTTAGAAGGGGTTGAAATAATCAACCCCTAAGATATTTTTTCTTACAACTTTTTTTTAGATGAAATTTTTTTCTTTAAAAAAGTATGACTGAAAAGCCCAATTCATTGACTAACTTTTTTAACTCTACAAGTTGTTTCTAAAACTTAAGCATTTACGAGAAAAAAAATCTAATGCAATGCATTTTCAAAAAGATGAGCTAACGCGAGTGTATTTTGCGTCAAGTCTAGTGGCCTGTGCTTTGCATAAAAACATTAATACTGATACCAGGATTGTGTAGTGTCATTTTCTGTTACCCATCTTCTTGTTTCACAAGTTTTATGATTGTGTATTGTAGGAAATATTAGTTGATTGAAAATATGAATGCATATTCGAATTTAGAAATGGCAGATATGCATTTTACATACGGTCGTGCTAACGGTAATTCATTGGAAGCGCAAAGACTTTATGCTGAACAGTACCCACAGCGTAGACTACCCCATCATACTACGTTCACAACTATTCACCGACGCTTGCGGGAACGTGGTAATTTTGAAAAAAGGAGTTATGATTCTGGTCGTACTAGAGAAGTTAGAACTGCAGCTGTAGAAGAAACCGTACTTAATTCAATTGAAGAATTCCCAGAAACTAGTACCAGGAGAATAGCTCGTGTCCTACATGTAAGCCATTCCGTTGTTTTTAGAATTTTAAAAGAACAAATGTTGTATTCCTATCATCTTCAACGGGTGCAGGCGTTAATGATTCGAGATTTTTTACCCCGTGTGATTTTTTGTCAGTGGCTTATTAATATGATTGGCCAAGCACCACAGTTCTTAGGTAATATTTTATTTACTGACGAGGCGAGTTTCTCAAGAGACTGTATTAGAAATTTTCACAACAATCACCTTTGGGCTGACGAAAATCCTCATGGCTTTTTTGAAGGAAATCATCAGTATCAATTTTCATTAAACGTGTGGCTCGGAATTATTGATAATCATTTAATTGGTCCCCATTTTCTTCCGCTACAATTAAATGGTGAAGCATATTGTCATCTCCTTGAAGAATTACCTGTTCTTCTTGAAGAGGTTCCCATTCAAATTAGGCAACATTTATGGTTTATGCATGATGGTGCACCAGCTCATTTTAGTATACGTACAAGAACTCACCTGAATGAGGTGTATGCCAATCAATGGATAGGTAGAGGAGGACCTGTAAACTGGCCAGCCCGCTCCCCTGACCTTAATCCTTTGGATTTTTGCATATGGGGATATCTGAAATCTTTGTTATACACAAACCCAGTTGAAAATATCGATGATCTGCGAAACCGCATTGTAGCAGGATGTGAAACTATAAGAAATTCTCCAGGAATATTTCATCGTATACGCAATTCTATGAGGAAAAGGGTAGATGCTTGTATTGAAGCTGAAGGCGGTCATTTTCAACATTTATTATAATTGTATTGTCGATATTCGACAGGTTTTTGTTCATTGTTTGTTCACTCTTGTTTTTAGTTGTAGAAGTCTTAAGAATCATAATTTGGTTGGCTGTTGTTTAATAAAATGCTATTTTACATGAGATTATTTATTTTTTTCTCATAAATGCTCAAGTTTTCGAAAAAAACTTGTAGAAATAAAAAAGTTAGTCAATGAATTGGGCTTTCCAGTCATACTTTTTTGAAGAAAAAATTTTCATCTAAAAAAAAGTTGTAAGAAAAAATATCTTAGGGGTTGATTATTTCAACCCCTTCTAAGCATACTTCAGGGTTGAAAAAATTTCAGAAAGTGTACTTTTATTGACAGATAATGTTTACAAAGTTTCGTGTCTTTAGCTTGATATACAGGGAAAATAAAAAAGAAATACCATTTTTTTTTTAATTTTCGAAGGGGTGTAACTTTTCCGGGGATGGTTTTTTCAAAAAATTTTATACCAAACACTCACATTAATTTTCATCACAGAATCACCCCTTTAATTTATAATATTTTATATGTATAAGTTACACTGACCGATAGAATAATATTTGTACTTGTATTACAGCTTCACTGATGTATTTATACATATTACAACGATTACAACTTTTATAACTTTTTGAATCGTTATATCTCAGAAACGGTGGCTCTTAAAAAAAAAAGAATTTTTTTTTATAGAAAATTCCACACCTGTAATTTTGAACCAATCAAAATACGTGTTTTTGACAGATCACCATCGCAACGGAGGTATTTTAGTGGAAATTTTTTTTCTCGTGGGGTACCCAACAGCGAATTATACTGGAAATTTTTTGACGTTTACAATAACAAACCATTTTTGACAGACTGGTTTTTATTTGTTCACATAATAGGTTTAGTTTTGATACATTTTAGTTACAATGCTAAGGTGTTTTCTATATTCTTCGGCCACTTCTTTTCTTCTTAATGGCGAAAATGCAGGACTTTGGATGCTTTGAATTATGTGTCTATGTCTAATAAAATATATATAATATTTAGACACTAATTTATTCACCTTTTTCCCATTCAGCACTTTGAATTTTGCGTAGTTTAGGTGCAAATATTCGTGGACAATTCGGAACAAATTTTCGTTTTTCAAGTTGGAGCCACAATCCTCTATTAATCCGAGTAAGTAAGTCATGGTGCAATGACTGATCATTACATCAGACAATTTCACGCATATTTTGCATAGCGTATGATTTTCAAATCGATTCATTTTTAAACAAATAGGTAATTTTGTTGGTTTTACTTGCTGTGCAATATTCTTTATCGCAACAAAACGCGAGTTATTTAATGCTTTGAACTGTCAAAATACAATGATCACAGCCTCCTACGATTGATGCTTGCTGACGCTGGTTATGAATTTCATACCATTTTAAAGCGCTCATAACGCATGTTAATAAAAACGCAGAAAAACAATTTTCTACCACTTGTAGTTATTCAAAACTTACGTAAAATTAAAGAATATACTATTTTCTATTTTCAAATGGTATTCCCATGCAACTACAATGAGTAGAAATAAGCAATTTGAAGGCCTAAATAATTGCAGCGAAACATTTTTTTACGTCGGGCCGCTTGACAACTTCAAAACTGAAATTATATTCGAGGTTAGGGTCTCACTTAGTTACCATGACAACTCAACAATCAAGGCGACAACACCTTTTATGTTTCACTGGGGACTTGGAGAAAATAATTTGCATTGTTGAGAAACGAAAAATAAATTTTAAAAATATTTAATTTTCAACCATAATTCGGCGTGGAATTTTCTTACCGAATACCACGCGAGGTCAAATTAATATCAGGAAATTTTTTCTCGCTCATGAATATTTTTAGAAAATTTCCCTCGTCTGTGACTCGGGAAATTTTCAAAATATTCATGAGCTCGAAAAAATTTCCGGAAATAATTTGACCTCTAGTGGTATTACTAGTGATAATTATCTACAATTTTTGTCTGAACTAATTTTGTGATGAAACTTACCGTATTGCTGAAAATCGTGAAAAACCCGTTTTTGTGACCTTTGACGCCGAGTAAATTTTTTTCCAGGTGCCGGATTGATGAGGACTTTTCAGTTTTCATTTACAATGGTGTTTTGAACAATTTTACCAATTTTCATCTGGGTGGGAATTTTTGTACCCTCACTCCTATTTTTTGGTCTAAATTGACCGGACTATAGGTGATTTTTATCATATTTACTACTTACCCTAGTGCTGGCCTTGTTGGTGGAATTAAAGGTAAGAGATCACCGATATTTAGTCCTTCGGAAAGTAGCAAATGATGTAGCTTGAATAAAATGTAATGCTGATCTTCTGAAGTTGGTATAATAGTAATCTGCCAAGGTGGCATATTAGTTGGCATATATTTAGACATGATTTCGTTCACGTACTCCTAAATTAAATTAAATAAAAATTATTTTTTTTTTGTAAAAAAAATTTTTTATTTTTTCATAAACATAGATGCCTAGAAAATATCTAGAAGCGAAAACTTTATTGATTATCCAAAATTGCTTCCAATAGAAGATAGCCTTTCAAATACCAAAATATGGCATTTTTAATGAAAAATGTAGCAATTTTTACTACAAATTGATTCATGTGTCTATTTTGTAACTATATATTTAATATTCGAATTGTTATCTGGTAACTTTGTAACGTCTTGCTATCTAAACCACTGTCATAATATCGAAGAGGCTAACCACGTTGTGGATAGGTGATGGCTGGGACGTTCCGCCATGGACTGTGCCACCATGGGACTAGCATTTAATTATCGATGACGTGGAATGAATGACAATGAATGAGTGAGTGAATTGGTGAATGGGAATGTTTGGTTGAGTCCAAATCACTTGGAATCCACTTTTGTAACAAGTTGTTACAGATTTTAATTAGATAATTTCGATTATCTCAAAGTAGTAACATGGTCTAAGCAACTTGTATTCTAGCAATTTACGATACAAAATAAACCTAGTTTTAAATTAAATAATTATTATTACAAACTATTACTTTTCACCTATATGACATATACAGAGAAATATGACTTTGATCAGAAAAACAGTACCTAAGAAGTAGATCACCCCTCAATAAGAAGTGTTTTCTAAAAAATTGTTTACAATTGACAATTTTGTGATTGACCAAATAAATTAGACTTTAACACCTCATCAAAAGTAAAATGAATTAGAATTAGTAAAACAAACAGAACATAAAGCTTGGACATCTCAATAATGCAGTACAGCACAGTACAATGGATTGATGATGCTAGATTTGGGGTTGTGTTGGCAATGGTAAAAATTAAGTCATTCGCAAAAAACATGAAGCCTTTCATCTAAACTATTTTAAGAGAAAAATCTAATTTTCTGCATCAGTTATCGTCTGAAGTAGCATGTCATTTAAATGGGTAGGAAATCTTGGAGGAATTGTAAATACAGAAAAATGTTTAACTATTTCAGAAGAATCGCTATTACTTCTGTCATGGAAGAATATTTGACATCAAGCCAAGATTTGTTGTCCAATCAGTATGTCATACTTCAAAAACGCTCTAAAATGGATGAAACTACTAAATGGGTCCTAGTAGTCTCGATTTAATTTCTTTCCAAACTGTGTGGAATGAGATAGAAAAGTGTCATACCTGAATTAAATTAAAGCAAATATGCGATTCGTTTACACCACAATTTTGCCACAAAGAATATCGGCTTCTATACAAAAATCATGTCTTTAAAGCTCATAAGCTCGATACTATATAGATTTCTTCAACTATACCTGTATATTGTAATCTGTTACAGCTCTGCCCTTGTATGTAAATGGAACCACCGTTAAATGTTGATCTAAATCAAATTTTGTATTTCGCCAAGCGTATGTTCCACATTTAGTTAATAAACAATGTTGTAATCTCACAAAAGCTAGATTTCCAGTTTTATCTCTTCTTCGGACAATTTCCTGAAAAACAAATAAATATGTGTCAAATACAAGTGCGATACATTGAAAACTTTGTAGATTTGCAAGGAAAAAATCAAATCAAACTTATTTTGAGATGATACTGTTTTTACTTTGATTCGTCACTTTTTATTAGATTAATATTCTTCTTCTTTTTAGGTGTCAGTTAGGATTTAATTTAAAGCCGTGCGTATCTCTATCTTAATTGGGCATGGCCTACTTTAGAAATAGTTTTTGTGGATCATCTTTATAAGGGTTTAGACATAAAAATACTGCTGTTAACTAATTTCTGTTTCAGAGATTTGACAGCAGTCAGAATCAAAATCGATGCAGGAAATGGACCGAAAGAGGTAATACTCGGATCAGCATATCAACCTTAAGACGATCCTGAAGCAACACCTATCAGAGAAGTGGAGGAGCTGGTGAGATTCTGCAAGCGCAACGGAATGCAGATGATCATTGGCTGTGATGCAAACGCACACCACAGGATCTGGGGGAGCACCGATACCAACGAAAGAGGCGAGTCTTTACTACAATTTATTATGGCAAATAATTTAGACATAACAAATGTAGGCAATAAACCGACCTTTATAACAAAAAACAGAAAGGAGGTATTCGATGTAACAATAGCATAAACATACTTGAGTAATTTTGTTACAGACTGGCATGTGTTTGACAAAGAGATCACAAACACATAAACTTCAATATTAAAGGTAATATTGCAAACGAAACTTATCGGAATCACAGGAAATCAGACTGGGAGGCATACAATGCTTCCCTGGAATGTAATCTTCCGAAGATGAGAAAGACGATAAGAACAACAACCGACCTAGAAATGGCTGTGGATGAGTTTAATGACACAGTCACTAGCGCTTTCAATGATACCTGTCCCTTAATAGCAAGGAACTCTATCAGGAAAGTTCCATGGTGGAATGATGGCCTTGTTATACTAAGGAAACAGGTAAGACAAAAATTTAATAAGCCTAAAATAACCGGCGAATAGGAACTATATAGAACCATACGCGCCTGTTACAACATAGCCTTACGAAAAGTCAAGAGAGAGTCTTGGAGAAGGCACTGTGAGGAGATAGCAGGCACTCAAGAATGTGCCAGGCTCCAACAAAAAATTATCTCAAAAGACACACAACACATAATAAACACCCTTAAGAATGAACGGGGGAGTACACAATCACAGGGAAGGAAACAGTAAGAGAACTCTTCAGGGTTCAACAGTAAGAGAACTCTTCAGGGTTCACTTCCCTGGTGCACAAACCATAGCACACACACCGGCTAACCGGAATCTAAACGGATTGAAAGCTCATAATAGAACCTACAGGGAACATTGGAGGATAGTCAAACAAGTGGTGAACTATGATAAACTGAAATGGGCAATTAGCTCATTTGAACCATATAAATCACCGGGCATGGACGGGATTTATCCAATAATGTTACAAAGAGGTCCTGATATTTTATACAGCAGACTCTGTAACATACTCAGAAGTAGTCTCGCCTTTGGACACATACCAAAAGCTTGGAGAAATATTAGGGTAACTTTTTTACCAAAACCTGGAAAAATAGGACAGGAAACAGCAAAATTCCTAAGACCAATAAGTCCTTTGTACTTAAGACTTTGGAAAAACTGCTAGATAAGCATATTAGAGACGGGATATTGGTTCAGAGGCCAATATACCAAGACCAATACGCCTATAGTGCAGGGAAATCAACTGAAACAGCTCTCCATCAATTAATAAAATGGGTGGAGAACACACTGGAGAACAAGGAGGTAATGCTGGAAGCTTTCTTGGATATCAAGGGTGCATTTGACAATACCTCCGTTGAATAGATCATTAGATCTCTCAAACACAGAGCAATGAAGGACACGTGCGTGTCCTGGATCGACTCTATGTTAAGGGAGAGAACTATACACACAACCCTTATGGAAAAGACAATAGCGGCACGGGTAGCGAGAGGATGTCCGCAGGGTGGAGTGCTGTTTCCACTCCTGTGGAACCTTGTAGTGGACGGGCTGCTTAGGGCTCTAAAAGATAAGGGACATAGAACCCTGAGATATGCCGATGATCTAGCACAGGGAAAATACAACACTATGGTAAGAGATCGAATGCAAGAGGCTCTAAATATAGTAACAAAATGGATATTAGCTCAAACAAATCTGACATAATTGCGTTCACCCGCAGGAGGAAATTGGAGGGACTAGGGCCTCTAAATCTAAGAGGTGCAAGCATCCTGCTTAAGGAGGAGATACAATATCTCGATGTTATGATTGACTCGAGACTTACCTGGAACCAGCATCTAGAAAAAACCACAAGGAGAGCGGAAACCTCGTTAATGATGGCAAGGCGATCCTTTGGTATATTGGCTTTATAACATGGTGGTGAGACCGATAACATACGCAGCTTTGGTGTGGTGGCCAAAGACACAGCAAAGGAAAGCAATAACGAGGCTAAGCAAGGTACAAAGACTTGCCTGCCTCGAAAAAACGGAGGCAATAAAAACAACCCCTACAGCTGCAATGGAAGCACTAATAGGACTCCCACCTCTTCACTATGTGATACGAGGGGAGGCAAGATTAGGTGCTTACATATTAGGGAATACACTGGGAAATCTTGACATTAGGCCAGGTCACATGAGTATCTCAAGATTAGTGACAGGAGACGTGCTAGACATGAGATCAGACCACATAACCAAGCGGTTTTTTTTAATACTCCATTTGAGGTTTTAATACAGGAAATAGCGGAGATCACCATAAGGGATCACCATTGCCCAACGACAGGAAGAAACCTGTTATATTGACGGGTCTAAGACTGCGGAAGGCACTGGGGCGGGAGTATTCTCCAAAATCCCTGATACTAACCATAGCTATGCTATAGAAATACATTCCTCGGTATTTCAGGCCTAGGTATACGCAATTTTGCAATGTGCAAAAACGAACAATGAAAAAGCTGTCGAAAATCAGCATATTCAAATAATGTCAGAAATGCATCGAAGAACTAAGAACACTGGCAGACCGAAATAGAGTAAAACTATTTTGGGTGCCAGGATGGTGTCAGGTCACCAAGGGATCGAAGGCAACGAAAAGGCTGACGAACTTGCAAAAAGAGGGTCAGAAGAAACACCGGAACCAGACACAAACCCAGGAGTACCAAAAAGTAAAGTCCGGGGTTTCATAAACGACTGGATTCGGGAACAACATATTAACTATTGGGTAAGCACTCCAAAACAGGCACATAGAAAAGTCTTCATGGACAGACCATGTCCCAAAAGAACTGGAAAACTACTCTTTATCAATAGGAACCAGTTGAAAGTGATAACAGGGTTCATGACTGGGCACGCCCCAGTAAAGGGACACTTGAACAAAATTGGCATGAACAATGGGGAACTCATATGCCGACTACGTCACAAGGAACCAAAAATGGCCAAACACGTACTATGCGAATGCGAAGCTCTAGATCGCAGAAGACAGGCTCTTTTTGGACAACCCCAGGTTGATCCAACAAGGTATAGAACCCACTCACCCAAGGATCTGTACAAACTTGCACAAGGTACAAAGATGACAAAGTGAGTGCTATGAAGTAACATGGGGTCAAACGCAATAAGCCAATAGGCTTCATTGTTATTCGGAGACATAGTCAGACGAGCCCAGGGAAAAAAAAGGGTTTAGTTTCTGAAATGCATATACAGTTTAATTTCTGGCTATTTTGGATGTTTGGATCATTGATTAGTACTGGCCCCAGGATGGAACCTTGTGGTACTTCTACATAAAAATATATACACATAAATTCGCCGATTTAAAGGACAAGGATTGTTTCCAAAGTTTTTAGTTACCTGTAAATGCCTCCGAACAGCATCAGGTTGCGCCTGCCCTTTGACACAAAGTAGAACAGAAATAATCCCCTGATTTCTGTGTGTATCTAACAACGATCGGACGGTATCGTACTTGACAAATTCCACATCTGGATGCAACATTGACAGAATATTCGTCCATACTCGTCTGTATAATTTTAGAACTAAAAAAAAAAAAAAAAAAAAAAAAAACAATGAAAAAAGGGTTGTTTTAAAAATATCTTAGTAGTAAACTTGATAAAAACAACTTTATTCATCGGCATATCTACCACGTGCAATACACGAACTACACAAGTTCAAAGGTGAAGAATATTTTGACTCGATTGTTTTGTAAATAATAAGTGGACTAGGGGCTAGTGATTTGTAAATTTTGTTATTTTTAGGAAGTACCTAAGCTTACAAACATACTAACCATCAGTAATTAAAGATGGTTTAACAATAATATTGTTTTAGATTAATTTACATTTAAAATGTTCAAAATGTTTATTTTCACCCTCGAATATGTACTTTATTTTATCTATTTTTGTGATAATACTTTATCATCTGTAATGGGAAGAGGGGTCAATAAAATAATTTTGGTATATTTTGATTTTAACGGAGCTAAGTATATTGCTTTTTTTTTCTCATCGTCCAAGAGAAATAAGCCTTGTCTGGGTAGCTATTTTGATTTCGGGAGAATAGAAAACCGATTTTTTCTTTATCTGCAACGCACAAAATTTGTATTTTTGTCTCATTCTTCCTTCACAATTTCTTCATTCCGACATTCAAGAATAGATATCCTAGATCAGCTTTACTCAAAGTGTGCTCCGCGGAGCTCTGGGGCTCCGCAAAGCCTTTGTGGGGGCTCCGCGAAGATAATATCAAAAAAAACGTACCTATCGCTATAACGGGGCTCGGGATTTTTTAGAGGGAGTATATGATTTGGGTATTTGAGGATTTTGGGTTGGAGGACCTTTTTTTTTGTTTTTTGGAAGCCAGGTAGATGAAAGAGTATACGATTTTGGTATTTTGTGTTGGAGGAGCTTTTTTGTCTTTTTTTAGAAGTTAGGAAGAGGAAGGCGTATATGATTTTGAGAATTTTGTTTGTAGGGGCTCCGCAATGAAACGGGTGGGACCTGACAAGAGGCTAGAGCAAGAAGGACTTTTTTCCGAAATGTGTTTAGGGCTCCGTCAAATATTTCACTTTTCAAAAAGGTTCCGTCACCAAAAAAGTTTGAGAACCACTGCCCTAGATGTTTTGCCGAAACCACCACAGCTTCCTATTAGTCAGGAGCTGTGTAGGAAGCAGGACATCTATTTTTTTCTTTAAAATAAAAACTTCTGCATGGATACGTCCCAGCTCATACCTCTTTGACATTTTAATACATGCGTGATATAATTTTATACGATTTTATTTATGCTAGTACGCCAACCATTTGTTTGTTTTCTGAATTGTTACAGTTCTACTATCAAAAGGTGAGTTTAGTTATTACATTATTATAATTTAAATCTCAGGATTGTTGTGATTTATTTTAAGGAAGTAAAAACAATCCATTAAGGTGCCTGGGGCAAATTGAGCACTAACAGTTTGATCATAATGCCCCTACCCATATTGCTTCGTGTTGTCAAGCTGTTTGATTCTTTCTTAAACCAACGTTTGTTTCTCTTTCAGTTATGTAAATATGGTGCGTGATTACAAAAAAAAACAGATACTTTTGGCCAGAGAATGGAATGGCACAAGCAATTGATACTGTTGTAAATCGAAACATGGCGTGTCAGATTGCTGCAACAAATTATACTATTCCTCGTGCTACTACAACGTCGCATACCTAAATATCGGGTCAATCAAGACATGTCTTGTGCAGTTAAAAAAGGTACGAGACACTTTAAATTTGGTTTTACACCAGAACAGGAATTGGAGCTGGTTAACTTTATTCAAGATATGAAAATTCACGTTTGGTCTTACACCAAGAGATCTTTGAAGATTTGTCTATCAATTGGCAGAACGAAACGAAATTTCATAACCACCGTTGCCAAAATTCTCAATAAAATCATTGCGACCAATGGGAAAAGGCAAGTTGGATATTTGTCGTCCACAGAGAGAGGAAAGATACTAACTGTGGAAGTATGCCTTCGTGCAGACGGTTCGTTCATGTTTCCACTTTTCATTTTTCCTAGGAAACAAATGAATTTGGAACTCTTAGACAGCCCGCCACCAGGGTATTGGGCTGATAGTAATGATTTAGGCTGGATACAAGGTGGTTTGTTTGTTAAATGGTTTGAAAAATTCGTAGTGTGGTCAAGAGCTTCAAAAGAAAATATTGTGATACTATTATAAGATGGTCATTTTACGCACACAAAAACTGTAAAAGTTATTGAACTTGCAATAGAATATAGTGTAATTCTTCTGTGCTTTCCACCCCCATTGTACCCACAAACTCCAGCCACTAGATGTGAGCTTTATGAAACCATCAAGTGAAAGTAGTTACTCACTGCCAAGTGGCTTGGCTTTTCGGAAAGGGGTTTGTTTAATCAGCGAATATGTCAGTAGTTATAAACGGTTTTAAAGCTACCGGGATATGACCACCTAATCCAAATATTTTTACGGATGCTGAATTTGTAGCAGCGGAGACTACAAATATAGAACAGTCGCAAACTGCTATCGTTATGGTGCCTCGTCTAGAAACACCGACTTCGCAAAACATAAGGCACTCTCCATAGCCTGGACCGTCCAACAGATCACCTTCAGATTTACCTCTCCAAAACATAAGGTAATTTCCAACGCCCTGGACCATCAAATAGATCGTCTTCTCAACCCAACTAACTTTTTTCTTACTTTTACACAGCAAATTTTACCTAATCCTAAGACTACAAAAAATCAAAGGTAGACAACAAATCGGACAACTTAACTATTTTTACAGAGTCTTATTACAAGAACGAGCTAATGAAATCGAAGTTAAGGGGCCATAAATTCTAACTCTGAATCTAAAGAACAAAAAGTGTTTAAGAATGATGAGGATAAAAAAGATAATAAAGAAGAAAAGGAAAACATAAAAAAGAAACCGAAAGATCTAAAATCAATGCAAAAAAACAAAAAACTATTGAAGGTGACTCCGAAAGTGACGTTTCCGATGTAGATTGTCTATACTGTGGATACTCATACTGGAGAAGAGGACGAAGACTGTAAATATATATGTGAGCAGTGCCAGAAATAAGCGAAACTTCTTTGCTCATTATGCCCCATTATAGTGCCCATTTTACCCCATAGTCGGGGCATAATAATTTTTCGTTAACTTAATATTTTTCAATATTTTGTTGTACAACTCCGATTCGGAACAGGATACGAGTATCACAGTAGAAGATGAAGCGCAGGTGGAACTAAACCAAAATACTGATGAAGCTGCCAAAAATTAACAGTTATCCGTAAACTAGAACAAATTCAAAGAACAGCATGTCTCAACATAACAGGAGCCATGAAAAGAACACCGACTAGAGCCATGGAAGTCATTCTTAGTCTCACTCCCCTTGATATTTACATCAAAGAGGTTGCTCTGACGATAATGACATGCCTCCGCACGGTTGGAATAGAACCTGATGTAGGATCTGGTGAGGCGAGACGTCACTTTTGGCACGAGGCGCTGGATACGCTCCCACTGCTTCAAGCGAACATGGACTCCATCTCACCAAAATATATCTTTCATGAGCCATATTGAGTTATAATAGAATAAATAGAATAAATAGAAGAATAAATAGAATGGGATATGAGTAATAGTGCCAGTGTAGTTCAAACAGAGCTAACGGGGATTCTCATAGCAGCAAAAGTAATAACCAGAAACAATATCACTGGAAGGAACATGCTCATCTATACAGATAGCAGACAAGCACTACTTACCCTGAACAGACCACGAATTTATACAGGGTTAGTACTAGAATGTCATGAAGCTTTGGCCGAAGTATCCATCAACAACGTGGTGACCTTAAGATGGATTAAAGGTGTCACCACATCGAAAGTGTGGGAATAAGCTACTGTATATATATGATATTTAGTTAGTTTTAGTTTATGGTATATGTATACTTACTGGGTCTACAGGAGTCAGTTGATCTGACGGAAATAAAGAGTGAGTTGTCAGATACAAAAGGTCTTATCTTTTATTGTGTAACTTACCATGGCGCAGTTAAAATAATTATAAACCAACGTTTCCAAAAGAAAACCTAAAAACGAAAACTTAGAATGCCGAAGAAGAAGCGCTCAAAATCGTCTGAGAAAGATGAGTCAACTGAGGGTCGCCTGACTTCGCTTGAAGAAGGTGTGAACAGTTTACAAGAAATGATGCGAGAACTAATAAAAACTCAGAGGCCTGCACCTGCAATGACACTTTCTCAACAGAACATTAGTACATTTAATGGAAATGATAGAGGGAACGATACAAGCGTTCCTACATGTGAAAACTCACCTAATACTTCTGTTCGCTTTTCGAGTGCTGTTGCCAGCCCAGAGAAGATAGTAGAGACTTTAAGTTACTCGCAATTTAAAGACTGGAGGCGTAAATTTGAAAATTATTTAGTATTTCAAAACGTGGAAAAAATACCAGAAAAACAAGTTTTGGCACTTCTTGAGTCCTTTTTTAGTCAAGACGTCTCCGATGTAGTAAGACTCGTTCTGAAATTCGATGACAATGTTGAAAAAACACCTAAAAATCTCTTAAATAAACTAGAAGAGTATTTTAAAAAGAAAGAGAATAGTCGTTTAAGACGAAGTCAATTTATGAATAGAAAGCAGGAGCAAGGCGAGTCTTTTATGTCCTTTTATAGGGAGAAAGTGAAACTTTTCCAATTAATAGATCCTTGTTTGAATTGCTATGATCGTTGTTTGTCAGATCATATTATAGAATCTCTTTTCGATGTAAATTTAAGAAAAAAATGTAGAATCCTTCCAGACACGGCTAGCGTCGAAGATATTATTAAAATATGTGAAGCTGAAGAAGCCGCTCTCAATGAAGAAAATATTTGCAGTAATAGCGTTGCTAAGATTGAACTTAATAAACCTAACACTGTGACCAATAAAAAATGTCCAAGATGTAGTAACCCATGGCATAGAAGCATAAAAGACTGCCCTGCATATAAATTCAGTTGTGAGAAGTGCAAACGAAGAGGGCACTTTACAAAATGTTGCATGACAAAGGGA